AGCGTCAAACAAGCATTTTTCGAATCCAGTTTGCCGATATTCTTTGATCCATTCACAAAATGTACGCAAATGTTCAAGAGCAATGCTTAAATGGACTTGTACAGATTGCCATAATTTTTGCTGCCACAGAAGAATTAGCTGTGTCTACCAACAGCATATTCCAGTTATGACAACCGCAAGGTGTAAAAAATGCCCTGGGATTAATATTTAATATTCGAGATTTAAGTCCATAATTTTGTAAAAATAAACTATATTAAAAAGTAGGGAAACAATTAGCGTGTTTACATTTTATGACAGCTCTATAGAAAGTTTAAGACACATTAAATGGGAAATAATAAACTAGATTAGTCATTGGCAAAAACAAACATATTTATTTAATTCATCTGTTAAGATGTTTTCAATTATAAAAGTAGTGGAAAAATTTACAAATCCTTAACAATAAACACTAGTCAATGGAGATTTTAAGTTATGCTAGGCTCTACGCTAGCGTGAATTCGTGAGAGTTTTACATTGCCTAAGGTCTGGTATTTTAGCGCGGGATTTCTATTGAACCGAGATAGAATATGAATAAGCGTGTTTGAGGTTGCTTTCTTAGGAGCCTCAAACACGCTTATTCATATTCTATCTCGGTTCAATAGAATTCCCGCGCTAAAATAAAACTAGAACCGTATTATCTATGTCTAAGAACCTAGACAAAACTGTATATTATCTATGCCTAAAACCGATAGTTAACACAGTTTCAATAATTGTAATAATTAGACAGTAAAAGTTATATTTACCCGTTACTCGATTGTCCACCTCCATTTAAAATGCTTTATAATACTCGAAATTTACTCGATGAATGAAACAAATACCTTTTAAATAGGGATTACAACAACACGCACAATACACGGTACAACACACGGTACTTTGTACTTAGTCTCGAGTTTGTTGAAGATGTCACGTGGTAAAACAATTTTAGTCGATGGTCTCGTGATTGAGATATCGCGCGTTTGTACCCCAAACTTGTATGTTTCTATTTACTCAATTCTAAACTATCTAAAAGTCCAAAAGTACCATTTAACAAATGAAAATTTTTCACTTTCATTAGTGAGAACGTTTCACCAACGTTCGGAAGGTACCGGGTCACGTCGATATCTTAATTATTCACTCCATTAGTCACCGTTAATTATCGAAATTCCAGCTTTAACAANACGTACGTAGTCTCAGAGGAGCAGAAGCAGGAACAGATCACTTTCTGCTGAAAGCCAGCATGAAAGTGAAACTCCGGGTAATGACGAAGGACAAGCAAAACCATCGTTTTTCATACGATGTAAATAATAAACTCAAAGCTAACGATACCAGGCGACAATACCAGGAAGAAATAACAAAGGCTCTAGAATTGAATACGATGAGAGAAATGGAAATGGACCGAGCTTGGAAAGCAATGCGCACATCCATCTTAGAAATAGTCATTAAAACCTTACCTAGAGAATACAGACCAAGGAAACCATGGTTTAACAGCGGCAAATCAAAGAATGAATTGGCTGGACAACCCAGAAGATTTAAGAATACAAATAAATTATTTTTAAAATTTATTTCCTGTCTCACTGTTATGCCTGTTATTTACATTCTCTATAATTGATTTATGAGTCACGAATCTTGGCAGTGGCGGTAAGCAAATTTAGGGGGCCCCGTGTACAGTTTGGACTTCGGGAATTTTTTTAAGGGAAGTTTTTGGGGAAATATTTTCTTATTAAAGATTGGTTTTGCCCCCTATTACCGACACCTCGAAACGTCGAAAAATGCAAAAAAATCGTTTTTCCCCCTTTAATGTTAGTGTTTATATGGGGGGGTACGATTTTGTTCACCCTGTTCGAAGCTTAATAACTCCTCTGCTTTTTGACGAAATTTTCTGAAATTTTGCAGGGAAGTTTATGTATTAAGGGCATTAATGCTACTAAATGTTGGTGATTAAAGGTGGAGGGGCTAGGGAGATAAGGAAGGTGGCGTGTATCTCCAATAGGGTCGGACTTAATGACTGACGATGTTACTGGTTATTGTCATTTACAAGGTGCAGGGAAAAAGAGGGGGTTGAGCTACAGTGGACGTCCTCCCCTTCTCTTTGTCCGACTTGTCTTAACCATTACATTAAATTTTAAACAGTTTATTATAGCTATTTTAAAAATTCTCGTTTACTTCGTTTCTAATGATGGTATCTATCATTTATAAAGTGATAAAGGTTTTGTTGGACGTCCGAAGAGAGGAGGAGGTTACGGAAACTCGAACAGACTGGGACGGGAGGAAAAGGGCGAGTAAAAATTTCAAGAAAATTGCTCACATCATGGACAGTCCCATAGTGTTCGGCATATCCTAACTCCGCGTAAATTGATTATAGCAATTTGTGTCGATGAAGACGAGTAAAAGGCTGAAGACAAACTCGTGCAGTGACCCGTCAAAATCACTCTCTTTAGGAATACAGAGGCACGGAAATCACGAAATTCGCCGCAAATTCCAAATTTTTAACAGTAAATTGAATCGCTACGCAACAATAAAAATTTTCTCGTTGTCGAGAGAAGATCTATCGTTGACTCGTTCGATTACTTAATGCGAGTGCTTTTCCGAGTTTTGCTTCGTTTGCAGCGATTGTTTAAATAACTTAATGTAAATTTAGACTACGATCTTTCTAGATTCAAATATTTTTTAACTTTGATAAGCAAAAAATCACAATTAGCGGCGGTGGTTTTCAATAAGAATCGATCGGTTTCCTTCGGGGGAATCGCATGTTTTCATTGTTAATTTTCCAATGGAATTGTTAATGCAAAATGAAAATTAATTAATTAATAAATAGCCTACTATAAATCCTTTATTCCCCGTTATAGTTTATATATTACAAACGTATATAGCTATATACTTTAATATCCCGTCCGAACCTTAATTAATTAGGATAATCCGAGTTCATTGGTCATTTCGTTTCTTCTATTTTCACACAAGTTTTGTGTTACGGCAGTCAACAGAATAGTACAATATTTTAATAAACTAATTTCTCTACCGAACATTAAAAGTTTGTCGAAAAGATTAAAATTATTATAAATATGATAAATAAATAGAGATTTAATTATAATATTCGAGGAATTGAAACAATCCTTTTTGCATCGGAAATTTACAATGCAAATTAAAATAGGAATATTTCTTAATTAATATAAGTTCGGTTTTCGCAACAGTCGCCGATTTTTCTTGGCACAGTGGATAATTTCAAAGAAATGAAGCAGTGGCAGACTTGGCACCCGGTCTCGGCCCGGTGTAATACGGATGGTTCCGAAAGACGCGGAAGAGTGGCGTACACCCGACGTTAAACGGGTGGTGGTCGTAACTCCGGACGACGGCGCCTCGTGTCTCGTCCAATATCTGGAGCGGCGATACCCGGAAGTTCCGGAATGGACGGTGGAAACACGGTCAATTGAGACGGAACTGGACAGAAAGGAGTCCGAAGAAATAACGGAAGAATCCGTCCAGCGTAAAAGGCCTCGGTAGAAAAGGTGGTTTTGCTGCCGGAAATCATAAAGCTTTCCTCTGCTCAGGCCTTCTCGCACGGATTTCAACTTTCCACCGAATGTGACACGGCACCCGGAAATGATTTTTTACCCGAATACGATACTTTCACCCGGAATTGACCTTTCATTTTGCTACGACTTAATCAACTGGATTTGACTTTACGGACGTTCTTCTACTTCGGTTAAAGTGCTCGGAACATCGATAGTGACATCTACAGTGGCAAAGTGACAACGAAACATTAACCATTGTTCTGGCGTTTAATTAAAAACCGCATTCAAACGAGTATAACTGGCCAAAGCAACTTATTATAATAGGCCTATACAAATGTGTATAATACCATCTGTCACAGATGGCCCGTGACAGGTGGTATTAATACAATTTCAACTTTGTACTAACGTGTCTCACTCGTTAGTGTTTTTCGTCCAACTCGTTTCTGAAATTTCCACACGTTGATTACGATTTCAAATCTTACAAATCTAACTTGTACAGTATATCAACTGTCGAACGCGTGTTGTCCTGGCCGAAACAAGGTAAAACGCGGTAATAAATTAAAAATTAACTTTACAAATATTACGAGCGTCGAATCTGAAAAATTGCAAAAAATAAAAAATAAGCAAGAATTATATGAAGAAAATTTCGAAATTTATTGTTGAAAGATGAATTATGATTTGACTGTATTTGTCTAATTAACGCGCTTCGAGAGCCTATTCTTTAATGCTTATTTGACAGTTTCTGTCCATTTCTTAATTTGTGTAACCACAATCATATTTTCTACATCTGTCAAGTTTATTTGTTTACTTTTATTGTCAATTTACACAATTAATATAAATTTCTCCGTTTTAAGCGATTTTAGATTTTACAATTCATTATTATTCTCATAAAATTTTTTCTTTAAAAATATTTTTTAATTTTTGGCTTTTTTCTAACTTCTTCACTACGAAAGAATATAAATTATGCTATTCATGAAGTTAATATTATAAAAATTTTTAAATTATTTTAAGAAATAATTAATTTTTATTTGTAGTTATGATTGTTAATTATTTAATTATGGCATCCGCAAAGGGCAGAAAAGGCCGACAATTTCCTCGTCTGAGATTCGCTGCTATTTTTCGAATTAAAATTTTATTGATATAAGCAGAGATTTTTTTAAATAATTTACTTATTTTAATTATAAACTCCGGAAAAAGCAGAACAAGTAGAATAATAAATTATTCGATTACTTTAAAATTCAAATTAAATGCTTATAATCTTAAATAATTAATTACAAATTTGTTACCTAAATTTACAAATATAATAGACAAAATGCCTTATTTTATGGATCCGAATTTAATAAATATTAATACAACGTTCGAATTAAATTATAAAACGTTTGGAGTACTAAACAATCGAACAAATAAACAATCGTCGCCCGATTTTATCGCGAAACAATCTTTTCCTTCGATTCATTCTTAAAGACCAGAGACGAAAATGGCCAACGGAGAAGTTATAGATCTTTCCGAAGTGATTTGTCCCATCTGTCTGGACGTTTATGTCGATCCGGTGTCCCCCAGTTGCGGACACGCTTTCTGCAAATCTTGCATCGATAGAGCCGCGGATACGGGGACTCGTCGGTGTCCAGTTTGTAGATCTCCGATACTCGGCACTAAACGGCGAGGAGATAAAATAGAGAAAATCAAGAGTATCGCGTCGACCCATTACGCCGTCTGTGACTACTGCGGAGAAGTGATCCATTTATCGCGATTACGTGATGACGCAGAGAAATGCCAAAGGACCATCAATAACAGAAAAAAGAAAAGATCAACTCGTAAGAAAATCGTTAAATGCGGGCGATGCGGGAAGAACGTTTCCGGTAAAGGACTATTAAAGCGCCTGGAAAACAAGAAGAGGGGCGCAAAAGCGTTTATGTGTTTGGAATGCTGGACCAAAAATCTTTCCGGAATTCAAAAATAATTTAATGAAATTAACACAAAATTTGAATGAAAATTTCGAGTATAAGAAATATTTCGTTGCCGTAAAATTTGAATATCGAATACATCAATAAAATTTGATTACTTTATGGACGATTTGGTTTATTTACAACAAAAGAAACGTTTATTAAGATTCGTAATAACTTTTTTGTTTTAAGAATTTCGCGGAAACACGAAATAATTTGTCAATTCGGACGAAAGCGCAATTGCCAGCTGATGGATCGGTTTATTTCTTTGGCAAAAGAAAGGGACCCGCCGGTTTAGAAGTTCCAAAAAATTGGTTTTCTTTTCTTATAATCTTATTGTATTTTATTGTAAATTAGGTTAATAACTGGATCTATGGAATAAGGCGAAGCAACGCGCGCGCGCGTAGATACGAGATCCCCAGGCTCGGGAACATTTTAAAAGTTAAAAGGAATTATCAATTTTGACACGAAATTTAGTAGAAAATCGGATCGATTTTATGAACGGGAAAGGTAGAATCTTATCTCGTTCGACATCTCTCCCGTTTCCTGTGATTCGGAGGATGTCGAAGTTCCTGCTAAATCGAAAGCCAGTCGGAAAATGCCCGCATCGGGAGCCGACCCGATGGGTCGTCATATTTTCTATAAAAGAAGTCACCCTTAATCCAGGCCGCTTTTAGTGACCCTAACAGCCGACGCTTTAGCCAGGCGATAGCCCAGTGTCAGAAGATACTAATAGTTTCCGCCCGATGATAGGATTTGGCCCAGAATAAAATGAAAGGTCTACATTAAAAGAAGACGAGGTTCTCACCACGTCCCAGGTAGTGTACTTAGGCCTATCTATGTAAGCTCTCTCATTCGGCGGCCATATCCTAAGATCTTAGCCAATAGTTAAACTGTTACAATCGAGTTTTGTTTAGCTTTTGTTATACGCCATATACTGTATGTATATTCGATATTGTATGTAGCTACTTGTACGCTTAATCCAGATTTTATATAAATAGTTAGCTTATTAAAAGAAATTGTTGCGCTTAGTAGAGAAAATGGAAATAATCTACCGCTTATTTAAATGGAAATTCGTTTAATTTAAAACCTTTTATATGAGTTTTATTCGTGTAGAAATATAAACAATAAAGATTCGAACAAATACGAAAATTCGATTTTCTTTTGTAAACTTGAAAAACGCATAAATTATCTACGGTACATAGTTATATCGTTACAATAATTATTAAAAAAAAAACAAATAATATTTTGAAAAAAATGGTAATTAACATTAGCAGCATAAACTAGGGAACATTGTTGTAATTACTCAGTGATACTAATTTTTTTTATTTGTATCTATGTTACCGCTAAAGCTCGAAAGTCGTTAATGTGCACATTACCTAGCTAATCTGCAGATTAACTAGAGTGATCCGTTAAAGTTGCTAAAATTGTTCCATTTCTCAAATTACCTAGATAATGTGCAGAGTATCTAGGTAATCCGCACATTACCTACTAGGCACTCGGTAAAGTGAAAATAAGATCTTTGCTGGAACAACAGCAACGTTTCTGTACGCTTAAATTAACATAATGTTCTTTATTTAATTTTCGATATCTAAAGAATCAAGTTAATACAATCAAACAATCAACAAATTAGTTGATAGAATCAATCATCAACCAATTAAAAAACATACAAAAAATCAAACGATTTAAAATATTAATACAATTAGGGAAATTATTATATAGATAACCACCTATGGAATTTCGGGACTTTGAGTATCTATCTGAACTGAGGGGACCGAGACGACTTCAACGATACCCTACTTTTGGACCGGAGACGAAAAATAATAAAGTTATCATACTTTTTCTGGTGATCGCATGATATAATTGTGCAGTTAATGTTACCTATGGTGAGTAAAATGGCGGCTCGTCTCCGATTCCAGCAAACAGAAGAAAGGAAACAGTGGGGACGCGCGTTCTAACTTAACCTAACCTATTCTAATAAATTACCATAATTATTACCAAGCAAATTATTAGAATAGGTTAGGTTAGGTTTGAACGTTCGTCCCCACTGTTTCCTTTCTTCTCTGCTGGAATCAGAGACGAGCCGCCATTTTACTCACCATAGGTAACATTATCCAATTGCGCTTACTTACTAGTGCAGTCTAAAGATTGCTGACACTTTGAATTTCATAGTAATTGATTTTTGAGACAAGCACACCCATTTGTGGTACATTTATTTGTGGCAAAGATCTTATTTTCACTTTACCGAGTGCCTAGTAGGTAATGCGCGGATTGCCTAGATACTCTGCACATTATCTAGGTAATTTGAGAAATGGAACAATTTTAGCAACTTTAACGGATCACTCTAGTTAATCTGCAGATTAGCTAGGTAATGTGCACATTAACGGCTTTCGAGCTTTAGCGGTAACATCTACATCAATTAGATCTTTGGAGCAGATTCAAAATATTCATTACATATTTTCTCGTTCTCTCTTACGTTCGATAATATATAATCCGCGATATAATATAATACGTTATTTTCTTTATTAGATAAAGACTGATCCACATTTATCACATCCCATTCTTCTATTTTAATGTTTCCTGTAATTCGCTCGCCCTTTCAACTTTCTAGTTCTGTCAACTCTACTTTTTCCATCGATCATCAGAAAAATCTACCCGAAAATCAGACTAAGTGTATCGTTTCGGATAATAAGATAGCTCATTTTGATTTAAAGAATTTATGCTATTACTTATTTAATTGGATGGAACTTATAATTATGCAATTGCAAACCATAATATAACTGACACATAAGTAAAAAATATTTTACAGGTAATTCCCGTATAACACGGCACTTCTATAGCACGGATTCACTCTAACACGGTTCGAGAATTGGTACCATCCCCCGTATAACACGGTACTTTTATAGCACGGATTCACTCTGACACGGTTCGAGAATTGGGTAAAACCCTCGTATAACAGGAAATGTAATAAATTTTTACATACTTAACTAATAATAGTTCACGAAAATTATTATTTTCGTGAACTATTAGTACTTAAGTATGTAAATTTTCTCTTCTCGCNCTTTGTCTTTTGCCATGATGTTACACAACCAGAAAAATGAATAAAGTTATATCCCTGTGTGTACCTAATTCCCAAATCTGAAGGTATGTTTTGGATAGAGGTAGCTATTGTACCATCGGCTCTGCACTGTTAAGCTTCACTTAACAGTGTAGAGAGAAAGAGATAGGATAAAACTACTTATAACTATTTTAAAATAACTTAATGTATCTTAAATTATTTCTTAAATTATATCGCGAGACAAGGTGATCAAATATTGAAGGTCAGTAGATGTTTCCTCTGTCAGGAACAGGTCCACTAAGAGTAGAAAAAGTCAACAACGAATTCTTATTCCACCACGATCGTTGAAAAGTCCGTTAAAAAGTCCGTTATAGAGCGAATACGATGATAGGTCATTAACCTTGACTGCTGTTAACTTGTTAAAATTTTAAAACTGTCCAATCTTGAAAACCGTTAAAGGTAGGTTCACCAAATTTGGCAGTATGAGGACGAACAAACCCGGTAACCAGTTCCGTCGGGGATTTGACTTGATGACCGTGTGGAGGCCCGATGCGGGCCGCCGAAATTTGATCTTTAAAGTTCAATTTCACGAGAACCGCAGGGTCTATAGCCTTCAAAATTTGAAGTTATACTCGCATGGTTGTAAGTTATCACCAGACACTGTCAGATTCCGGTTATGTGGTCTAGAAGTCCGGTAAATCGGTCCCGAATCCTTGAAAACTTAAAAAGGTCATTTAAAAAAAAAAATTGGGTCCGCCGATATAAGAATGATATTAACAGGATCACACTGACTAATACAATCAAACTATGCACAAAAAACCGCACTATAATTCCTTTTTTTTCCGATAAAAACCGAAAAGTTTACGAGCACGATTTTCAAGCTGTCTCCAGTCCTACGCGCGCCATCTACTCATTAACTAGGTACTGGTTTCGTCGTAGCTAAGCATATATGGGACACGATGTTGGCATTTGAATGCATTTCTGCGAAGATTTCCAAGCTCGAAACGAGAGGCCGATGGTTCGATATCACAGTGGTCAAAGCCCACGCTTCCGCAGAAGTAAGCGACGGAGGAAACAAAGAGGAATTCTTTGAGGAGCTGGAGAACGCAATGACAGGGTTCCAGTACGTGACATAGTGAAGCTTCTCGGGGACCTTAATGCTAAAATAGGCCAAGAGCGGTGCTTCCAACCCACCATAGGAAAGGAAAGCCTGCACGAGACAACCAATGATAATGGAGAGCGACTTATCAACTTAGCCAGCGCTAGAGATGTGATAATCCGTAGTACTAATTTCCCTAGAAAAAACATTCGCAACAAACACGGATATCCCCAGATGGCAAAAATAGATCATTTACTCATTAACCGGAGATATCGTAATAGCATAAAAAACGTACGTAGTTTCAGAGGAGCAGAAGCGGGAACAGATCACTTCCTGCCGAAAGCCAGCATGAAAGTGAAACTCCGGGTAATGACGAAGGACAAGCAAAACCATCGTTTTTCATACGATGTAAATAAACTCAAAGCTAACGACACCAGGCGACAATACCAGGAAGAAATAACGAAGGCTCTAGAATTGAATACGATGAAAGAGATGGAAATGGACCGAGCTTGGAAAGCAATGCGCACATCCATCTTAGAAATAGCCATAAAACCTTACCTAGAGAATACAGACCAAGGAAACCACGGTTTAACAGCGGCAAATCAAAGAATGAATTGGCTGGACAACCCAGAAGATTTACACATCAAAAATCAATATGATGAGGCATCAAAACATTCTTAGAAGACTATTAGACAGCGGAAAAGGAAATTTCTCACAGATTCGATTGAAGAAGCAGAGAATGACTTACAATAAATACTGTAAAATTAAAACATATTTATTATTCGCAGATCAATTTAATATAAAATTCTACTTTATATATTGTATATTCTAAATTACAAATTCTACCGTAATTTACAATACATTTTATTAAAATAAAGTAGATTTGTATATTATAAATATTAAACTATATCAATACTCTTAATTAATTTATGTATACTGATTTTTTTGTTTAAAGTTCAAGCATTTTTAACTATTTTACGAACGAATATATCATCCGAATATAAATAAAAATTGTAGCTACATAAATAATTGCTAATACTTTACCTCAAATAAATAGCCGCTGTCGGTTGCTTTCCAGTTTTTTACCCAAAGTTTACAACGTGCGGGATCTTTCGCAAAAATAATTTTTCGCTGCCGAAAGCGGCACTTCCAGTCATACTCTAAGAATTATTGAATTGTAAAATAATCTAAACTAGACAATAACTTCTTACTTCTAACAAATATCAGTATATAGCGACTGGCATCAAACTCAAAAATTCAGATTAATACAAATTAACAGTATCGCAAATATATTCTTAATATCACTAGCATTTCATTCATTTTAATCCCACCAAGTTTCGGTTCCAACCTCGCTAACACGTTGTTTGGAAGAATAAGGGCGACGTAAAGTCGCGTGATCACAAACTGCCAATAATAAAAAAGCGTTCGTTATACGGCCACTCTCTCTATTGCGTTACGGATCAAAGCGGCACCGGGTAGACATAATTGAAACTAATTGTGACGTTTTTCTGGAAAAAACCCCTGGTGATTCTACGCATTTCAATGCTAATCGCGTTACCACCAGTCAAAACTTGACCGAGATATCGATTTTCAAATTTTAACTAACCTTTCGATCACCCCGTGCGTAATACGGTAATTTGGTACCGGGTAGAGAAGAGAGATAAGACAGCTCCACGCCAAAGCAATTTGCCAAGAGGAGGATGGATATATCTCAGCTTTCGGGGAAATTTCAATAAATAATGCGTATTTATCTTTATATAATATATCTAAATATATAAAATTGCTTGTCCTGACTGACTCATTCATTCATTCACTGATTCATCATCGCCCAGAGCAAACCGCTTAACCTAAAGAGGTGAAATTTGGTACACNTGTACACAGGCTCAGTTAGATCATTGTAGTTGTGTGTTTACAGTCTTCCATTCGCAGCAATAACATGACGTCAATGGATGGAAGGGTAACTACCAAAGTGAAGAGTGGTCAAGCACTTACTACTGCTGTAGATACTTTAGTTAAAATTTCCGGCTGTAGGTTCCTTATGTCAAAACGCTCAAAATTTCATCCTCTACAATCCCCCAAATTTTTAAAACGTCATTCTGATACACCCTGTATATGTATTTTTATTATTACATATAAATAATAGTAGTAAGAAAGTATATATTTTTTATTTTTTGGAGTCTCCAGAACAAATTAATCAAATTTCCATAAAAACCTATGGTAAATTGATAATCAGTTAACAAACAATTCGGATAGCGAACAAAGTCTTGGAACGGATTATGTTTGTTAACCAATCACCCACTTTCACTAATCACCAACCAATCACTATTTGCCATTTAAGTGTGGAGTAGTATATCAGAGTGGTTAAACAAAACAAAGCTAAAAGAAATTCATAATTTTTTTCTGGTAAAGATTATTTTAAAAAGTAGAAAATATTTCTGATGCCAAAAGAGTAAAAAAAACAAAAAAAACAAATTTGCTGCAGTGTAGCCAAAACTTGGCATCATTGTTTTGACATGCCTTTAAATGGATGTGATCCCAATATGCAAACTAGCACATGTTTGCATGGGATCACATCCATTTAAAGGGGCAGGTGTCCTTAAACACTAACCCTATTTTCTGAGTACAATAGAATGGTCCACTAAAAACAGATGTTTGAATTGCTTTACAATCAGAAGTCAAAGCTGTCTTTGACTGCTGATTTTTTTTTTGTTTACTATGAGGAAAAATACTACTCAAAATAGAACATTTATTACAATACTGATTTTTATTGTTTATGTCAAAAACTGTAAAAAGCAACCATAACTGGAAGTAGGGTTATTTCTTAAGGGTTGTGGAGTTAATTTACAGTTCAGTTTATCAAATTCTGAAAAATTTTTGTTCACTTTATCACATGAAAATTAGCATTGTAATAATGGCATTTTGCCTGGTCAATGGCAAAATTTGCTTTAATGAAGGAATTCACTTTATTGGTGTTTGCTTTAAGGTGAGTTGACTGTATTATTTATCATCTAAAATTCATTTTTTCACTAACCTTGAAGGAGTAAACCATGCTTTCCGAGGAATATAATGAGATTCTGAAATTTTAATTTTACTTAAACTGTCATATGGTCTAATATGTGATGTTCCATTAATCCTTGTAACTGGTCTTGGTGGTTTCTTTCCATAAATATCTAATCCCTCACGAATTACACGAGGCACAGGTGGACCCATATATCTTTTACTAACAGTCCTAAAGAAATATTTAAAATTCATAGTAAGAGAAATATCTATTTAAAAATACTTAAAATAAATAAAAGTAATGCGAAAGAAGTTTTATTATTGAGGATTTCAATTCTTTTTTTCTTTCTTACCATAAGAACCATGATTCTTATATTTTATAATAAAGAAACAATAGTTTGCATTTCTGTATTAGGAATACATATGTTTTAAAAATAAATTCTTCAGAGTTTATAATTGATAGATATATATATATAAGTTTATATTTGACATTTATTTCAATATTTTTTTGAATAATTAAAAACTCAACAAACCTAGCAAAATCTCTTTCAGGTCTAGCACTTTTTTTACCTTCTTCCAATGTTTGATATTCTGTTCTTCCACTAAAAAATGAAATTTTAAAAATATATAAATCAATATTATGAATTAAATCTATTATACAGTTTTTATTTAATATTCTCTAAGAATTACAAGAATGAATTTAAATAAGTTAAAATAATCTCTTACTGTTATATTTGAAAAATTTAAGATTTTAAAAGTAAGCAAAACATGTTAAAAATGATTTTTATTTAACTTTCTTACGAGATCAAATAAAACTAAAAGTTTAAGTGTATTTGATAATCAATTATATAATTGATAAATTTCACCTATATCGAAATTTCGATCCTACTCCAAAAAATAGACGACGAGATGGACGTTGAGGAGCATGAAGTCGAAAAAAAGTGTGATGTTCAACACAGGATTTCCACAGATTTTTACAAGAACGATAATTAAGCATATTGAAGCCCACCATATTATCATAACTTTCTGTCTGTAAAATAAAATATTTATTAGCAATTTATATTTCACATTAAATGTATGCAAAATTTATAGATTCACTCTAGAAAACTCCAATTTCTTAATAAATAGTTCAAAAAATTCTGCTTTACTAAAATCAATACAAATTAAACAAAAAAACAATCCTGACTATTTTTGGACTTTAATAAAATTCCAAATTCAAGGGTATTTATCTAATCATATTTAAATTGCAACTTGATATCTTTGTGGTCAGCAATAAAAGAATTAAAAATTATTTTTCAAACAAAAAAAAAACTGAAACATCTATAATCAAGGTATTGAATAATTATTTTCAGAAGTGTCTCATATTAATAATAAACTTATGACTGCAAAAAATTAAGATTGTAAAAAATATAAAAATAATAATTTATTGGATTAAATCCACTGTTACAATAATATAAATTTGAATAGTTGCAAACTATTATTGTAAGTATTGCTATGGAAACAATACAGCCATGTTTCGTTTCCATGGCAATACTTACATGACAACAGATTTTTTTCCACACTTCCTAATGATGAGTGAAGCTACTCAAAACTACTAGAATTTATTTTAATGTGAATTTACAATTTACTGCATTAAAGCATTCTTTTATTTTCATATTTCCTCAATTATTCATATAGTTAATAGAATTACTATAAAAATAATGACTTGTTAAAATAATCAAAATATTTCTTTTTTTTGGAAACATTTTCATTTTAGAGCATATTAGAACATAAAAATTCATAAATTTATAAATCTAAATGTGTTTTCAATATTTTAAATTCAATTTAAAATTCAAATATGAATCATTCCAAATATCAAAATTTAATTTTATATTTTGTTTTTATATAAAGTTTATATTTTATTTGTGCTGCTGCTGAACTAAATCATAAAAAGAATATTTTTGTTACCTTAACTTAGCAATTATTGTCTTGATATTTGAATATAGTGCTAAGTTTACACATTCCTTTGACAGAAATGCTTTCATAAAAAAATTAAATTTAGTGTTTTGCATTTCTGAAAGTTGTATCTTTTTTATCTATAAAATCATATGTTCATAAATATCAGCTAAATGTAAAATTATTTTAAAAAGTATAAATTTATTGATACTATTGTATTGGTAGTACATCTATTATGTTTCTCTTGGTGTTTGGCCAACCTGTTTGCAAGCATTCTGGAAGTGACTCCAATGTATGCAAAGTTAGATACTGTAACACCTAATTTTAAAAAAATTTTGTAGACCCCAAAACATTCTTGTGTAGAATAACAATCTCTGTCATTGCATAACATCTTCTGAATACTGTATATATAAATACATAAAGCCTGATTTTTAAGTAATGCCAAACAATCTGCCAAAGTAAGGCTAATTTAATAATTAAATGTAAAGACATTTGACTGAAGGTAGGCAGTTTGACTAGAAGTTATTACAATTATTAAAATTATCATGAGATGATGACTGCTAACCTCTAGTCAAATTACTTTTACTAGAAAGAGGCACAGATATAGTTGCATGCTGAGTTTTGCAAGTAATTGGACAATTCTATCTTCATGACATTTTTGCCATGCACTCAGATACAAACATAATTGATTTATACAGTACATCAATTATAAACAATGCATTTAATATCAATATTTATAAATTATATTGAATAAATTTTCTCCATTATAAATGGAGTCTCCGAATAAACTAAATGCTATTGGTAACCTTCAAAATACTCCAACAAAAAAATTAAACAAGTTAGAAATTGATTACGAATATCCAATCCATAGTCAAATCGATATCAACTCGTTACGGTGATAAAACAATAGTAGTGTCAGACAATTTTCAAGTTTTCCTACCAGATCGATTTAATAATAATTTGACTGAAGAGGATATTAAAGAACTAAACAAACAAAAAGATTTAAGATTTGTGTATAGAGGTATGAGAGAATGAAGCAAAACAAATAAAGCACACATCGTTGAGTTTGTTCACAAGTAAATGAGATTTTTTTTTTATTTTACTTTAACTCATTTATAGAAGACAGAAGTAAACGGCATTTTAGGGAGTTTGAAATTTGTGGGGTTTTTTTTATTTTAATTTAAGTAATTTTTGATTCTTCTAAAATAAACTGTCTAGTCTCATCATGACCTTGGTATCATATTTGATGAAAAGTTAATATTCCATGATCATATCTCTTACATTATTAAATCTCTTGCAATTAGATGTGGCTTTATGTGGCGTTTTTGCAAAAATTTCTCTTCAAAGATCACACTCAGAACAATTTTCTTTACTAGTTTTCAATCAATAGTCAATTATTGTTTACCTGTCTGGGCCATGGCTGTCCCTTATCTGATTCAAAAAATACAATCTGAATTAAATAAAGTTTATTTTCTGATACACAAATTCTGCAATTTACCCTTTACTGACAACCACGATGTGGCAAGAGTTTGCCTTGGTCTTCCAAATCTTTCTGATCGCCTAAAATATTTTGACCTCATTCTCTGCTTTAAATACTTCAATGGTCTAATCTTAAATTACTGGCTAGGTCTCCGCATCCCTACTGTAAGAACCCGTAACACATCATGCTTCTTCATCCCATTTTTTCGCCTTTCTCTTTCACAAAGATTTTTTTTTACCGTATAGCATCTCACATACAGCCTGTTGAACATTACCTATATCGTGATTTTAATTTTTTTAAAAATAAATGTAAATCTATTTTATATANTTGAAAATAGTTCGTTTGATTTTCGGCAATTCTCTTCAGCGGTAGGTGTTATATAACAATTACTATGGTTATTGAAATATTGGATGTAAATGGGGTTTGCTTGCAAAACCTCCGCTGACGAAGTCGCGGGTAACAGCTAGTTCAATATAATTTAGTAAATCCGTTTCTTAAAGAGAATTTTTCAGCCACTACCCAGTCATCGCTAGTGGACGGATCCATCTATTTAGAATTTTTCTACCCGTATGATATTATGGGTTTTAATGCCTTTTAGTTTCCTCGGCTGTTATGTAACACAGGAAAGCGGGACTGTGGACTCCTTTTTATTTCCCAACTTGTTACGTGTATATTACTCTCCTGGCAGTTGTAGAGTATAGGCCCGTAACAAAAGAAAAGAATGACGATCAGTCAAAAAATGATTGCCCCAGATTTTTACTCTTTCGGACTCGTATGTGTGTATGTCGAGATTTTAATATCTCGAGACGAAATAACGATGAAGAGACGAAATTTGGCACGGGAGCTGGTGTATAAGGGGCATTGACGCAATTAAATTTTTTCGCTTAAAGGTCGAGAGGTCGAGGAGATAGAGAGGAATTATATGTCATATCTCTAGTGCTGTTGTACTTAATTAATTGACTGGATGGTGACAAACGGATCTTCTTCGAATCTTTCCATCCGTACAGATTCGTTCCCCAAAAATTCTTCCAAAATTTACACTATTTCGTTCGATTACCTTGCCCTTAGTGACTCCCTTTTACTAAAATATTTCTCTCTCGATAGTAAGTGTACGCTTACATGTATGGGCGGTAAAAGTGTCCAGTGCATATAGAAGTATACAGACTAATTTATAAGAAAATGTTAGAGAAATTTCACATCGTATATTATTTATTTAAACTCAAAAATTAATTAAATAGGGAACGGAAGGGAAACATTTTAATACTTTAAATCAATCGATACATCGATTAAAGTGAAAAACTGCTTGAAGAAATAGTAATATAAGTAAGAACAACTATCAGCTAAATAGATAAAATATTTAATATTAATGCCAAAAATTATTATTCGATAAATTTTACAAACAATAGGATCCACGCGAACAATGTGCCAAGACGATTCGATGGCTGCGTCTTCTTGTCCAACGCTGAAATCACAGAATCTTCCTTTCTGACAAACAACTAAATATTGAAATATATTATATTTCGTGTGTATTTAAGCACAAATAATAAATTGCCAACACCCGAAGAAAGTAAATGAAAGTTTCGGGTTAATGAAACTAAATGAAGACGGCACATTCTATCGGGGAAAGAGTTGATCATACTTTCATATTTCACAAAGGATTAATTAATTTTTCAAGTTTATAAAGATACTTTTGTAAAGTGATTAAAATGTAATATAAAAAGCGTTTTACTTTTCGCATCAATACAAGGAGAAGAGTTTCTTTAATTGTCATCTGACCTAAAACGAGTTTGCAAAGGATATCGAGCTCTCTCTTTGTAACCGAGAATGGTTTCTCTGGCTTTGTCCCAACAGTGTGGCCCTTGCAACCTGTATTGATAAGGAAGACTCGGACCCAGCATCAGAGCCCAAAACAATTTCGGATCCGTAAAAAACATCTTCGAAAAATTCGGCTTCGCTCCGATTAACTCCGCGATGTCGTCCGAGTATCTGATATTAATATAATCGATTTGGATTGTGTGACGTTTAGAATCGTAATAACGCGTCTCGAGTTGTCTTTTTCTCTTTTCGACGTCTTTCTTCATTTCTTTCTCGCTAGGAAAAGGTACTTTATTTAAAAGTACCTGCACAAACCATCTGCTTTGTAATTCGTCAATGGAAAAACTTCCACCTATCAGTTTGTATAGTTCCACCCGATTATCGGTGGTGTCTATGATATTTTTGCCGAGGAATGGGAATTTAATGTCGTACCCCGTGGCTAGGATGACCTAATCCACTTCCGTGACGTGCGAATCTCCCTGGAAGACGATGCCCTTCTCTTCGAATCGCTGTACGTCTCCTTTAACCGTAATTCTACCGCTGAGAATACAATTTGCAACGGAATCGTTGATGGTGGGATGCTGCTGAAAGAATCGATGCTCGGGCTTTAACTGGTAAGCTTTGTGATCGAAACACCTATTCAAGTCTGTTTCTATCCACCAAGACGAGACATTTATTGGCGCTAGTCTTAAGCCGATAGAGAAATATCTCGTTATGAAAGATTCGTCGTTGGGTTTACCGCCTTTTCCTACTCGATTTATAACCCAACATCCTCTTCGAGTGCTCCAATATACCTGAAACAAAAAACAGAAGATATTTAGTTAATTAATAGATTAAATCGATTAATTGTAACACGTTCTCACAATGATTTATGTGTTCTTCATTTT